ATAGGTTAGAGACAAATACCAAAAGGTAATGTTAATCTGTGGTTGTCTCTAACCTATGTAACACAGATTAACATTACCTTTTGGTATTACACGAGGAGTTGCATACTGGCTCAGTTTTTCTGTCAGTAGTCTCTGTTGAACTTGAGGTGAGTCTTCTATAGAACAGTTGGAATAAGATCCGTATGGTACAGGACCAGGAGTGGAGGATGGAGATGGAACAGTAGAGGGGGTAGAGCAGAATGAGGGAGGGTTTACAGATGGAGTTACAGAGGTACCTAAAGAATTTGGTGTGGATGTCAGGCGTGATGGTTCTGTTGTTGTGTAAAGAGAATTCATCACAGAGGGATTAAGAAGTGGATTTGGTATTAAAGGCGGTGGAAATCCATTCAAGATTCCCAGATGGAGGTTAGCAAGAGCCAGGGCTGCAGCAGGAGAACTATGTCCAGCCATGGAACTGATAGGAGTGCTTTGGCTGTGCGAGGTTGTTGGTGGCTGAGAACTATTTGACAAAGTTCTGTGTGTCTCTTCGGAGCTCTTGGAAGGAGTATGTTTACAAGGTGATCCTTGAGTTATTGAGGTATTATCACAAGGCATTCTAGGAAGAACACTAAACCAGGGTTTCTGGGTAGACTGTTTCTCTGACAAGGTTTTGAGCATTTGTTCTGCTGACAAAAAGGTAGGGTTTAACCCTAACAGTGGACCATATGATGAACTAGAAACTGGAGGTTCAATTTTAGGAAGATTGAAGTAGCTACCATTTAATTCCCTGCCATGTAATAAAGGTCCATTCATGAGCATTGAGCCTGCAAGGACTGAAGCAAAGAAAGGAGAATGAAGCAACCAGTTCTGTTCAATACTAGGAACACTACTCGTTGAAGTGTTTGGAATATCAAGTTTGATAGAATTTGTTAGTTTATCACCTATTTCTGGCAAAACAACAACTTCAGAGGAACTTTTCAGTTTTGTAGGCGATTCTTTCTTAACATTAATATAATGTGAAGGCGAATCAGAAGAAATATTAGTACCAGATGTTTTAAGTGTTTGTTCTCTTTTACTGGTTGTACTTTCCACTTTTTCCTTATTCTCATTGGTATTCATTAAAGAGTTTTCTTCTTTTGATTCTAGAGACTTACTTTGTTCTTCATTCCCAGGGATAACCTGTGGTACAATCTTGATACAGTTTTCCTCTTCAGCTTTCAGTTCTTCTGATACATTGCTATTTACTTCTTTTAGTTTTGATTCTGTGTGTGTTACATGTTTCTCTTCCACCACATTCTCGTCTCGTGTTTTATCAACACATTTTTCTTTATTCTCTAGTTTTTCCAAACTTGTATCTGGTGTTTTATCTTGTTCTTCTATATTTTCATTTTCCACCCCTGATGACTCGACCCCTTCAACAAAAATACCTCCGGCACACGGAGTCACCCAGTAGAGACGACAATAGCGGTCCTGACCAAAACACGTACCTCGAATGGTATGAGCTGCTTTGGTTAACTTACTGTGAAACTGGGCTTGTTGCTACAGACAAAAAAAAAAAAAATCACACTTGAAAAATGTGTTAAAACTGATCTAACGGTCAAAAGGGGATATGTTCATAATATTTGTCAATAATTTTCTGATTGTAATGACTATAAATACACAAGCTATGTACACTACAAGCAAGCTTTGCTCAGAAACCAGTTTCTGATTATATCAACCCACATTTTATTCGTCACTGGTTGGTACATATTCTCACGTGACTTTCCAACATCATCATCAAACATCAGTGTTAGGTGTAAGATCAATATTAATCTAGCTTATGAATGGTTTTAATTTAGGTAATCATAACGAGGAAACACCTTCCTCTAGGGATGTACTGTACATAGTGAACCATATAATCCCACCACTAAATAAGGTATTATTGGAAATATCATTTTATCTGTATTACTTATTAAATGTAAATTTTGACAATGCTGTCTGGTTCAGTTACAATAGTGGTTTCAAAATGCTATTTGAAAGGTCTGCTCTCCTGTTTTTTTTCCTAAACATTTCAACATATGTTTTTGGTTCTATTACTACTCCAAAATATAACGTAAAACAAAATCTAAATTACAAGTATTGTGGTGTCAATTTATAATACTACAAAAACAATACTAGTCAACTCTTCCAAAACTGTAACACCAGGTTTTAAGAATTGTTTTCAATACATATAATCATACGGAAGAGGAAATACTGCTGCTTTCATCAGCATGAAATGTTCAGAGAAACATTACATATGATTATATTCAATTAGTAACATTAGAAACACTAGTAAAAGTGATGGTTCTAAATGGCAAGTTTGTCAACACATCATGACCACATCAATTAGAGTATCATGGGTTAACCAGTAATGATTAACTGAGATAATAAACAGTTGAAGACCATGACCACATCAACTACAGTATCATGGGTTAACCAGTAATGATTAACTGAGATAATAAACAGTTGAAGACCATGACCACATCAACTACAGTATCATGGGTTAAACTGTAATGATTAACTGAGATAATAAACAGTTGAAGACCATGACCACATCAACTACAGTATCATAGGTTAACCAGTAATGATTAATTGAGATAATAAACAGTTGAAGACCATGACCACATCAACTACAGTATCATGGGTTAACCAGTAATTATTAACTGACACAACAAACAGTTGAAGACCATGACCACATCAACTACAGTATCATAGGTTAACCAGTAATGATAAACTGTGATAATAAACAGTTGAAGACCATGACCACATCAACTACAGTATCATGGGTTAACCAGTAATGATTAACTGAGATAATAAACAGTTGAAGACCATGACCACATCAACTACAGTATCATGGGTTAACCAGTAATGATTAACTGAGACAACAAACAGTTGAAGACCATGACCACATCAACTACAGTATCATAGGTTAACCAGTAATGATTAACTGACACAACAAACAGTTGAAGACCATGACCACATCAACTACAGTATCATGGGTTAACCAGTAATGATTAACTGAGACAACTTTACGATATAATAAAACCATCTAAATTAGAAACTGTATTAAATGTTGTGGGCTAAGTGGCTTCCTTACAATGTAGTTCAGTAACCAAGATGATAATCGTAAAATCAGCAAGTCTACTTCCTAAGAATAAAAACTAAATATTGTTTACCTTTGAAAGTTTTTCAATTTTCTTCTCTAACTCTTCATTAGACAAACCAAGTTCTTCATCCTATCCAGAGTTGTAAAATAATAAAATAATTACAACAAAACTTATACTTCACAATAAGTATCAAAAGATCTAATTATGAACCAAAAATCCTGTTTTTAGATATGAACATATGCTGGTTTAGCCACTATTTCTAAACTGTATTATTTAACTTGTGTGAACTCTCAAGAAGTGTTATTGTTTCTATGTTCAATACAGTAATCAAAAAATATAATACAGAGAACAAAATCATTCAGGCATCAGTCTACCATCTTGGAATCTACAGTTTATAACAAACAAGAAGAAGCTTTCCTTGCTAGTTCTACAAATAATTGACAGTTTCTTCACAACACACAAGAATGATGAGGAAGTTTTCCTGATTATTTTTATAGACAATTTGAGTACAACAAACACAAATGAATAAGAGACATTCCTGTGTAATTATACAAATAATCAACATTTTGTTTACAATACACAAGAATGAAGGAGAAACTTTCCTGATTAGTTCTATAGACAACTGACAATTTGAGTACAACAAACAAGAATGAAGGAGAAACTTTCCTGATTAGTTCTATAGACAATAGACAATTTGAGTACAACAAACAAGAATGAAGG